CTTGCATGCTGACTATAAATGCAAAAAGTAAATTGTTCCTCTAGTTTTGTGGGTTCAATTTATCCAAATATTTCCGTAGATTGCATTTTCTACAGATCCATTCATATTATGGAATTATTTGAAAAATGGATCCTTCATTCTTTTGTTCAATAATAAATTATCTTTTCATGAAAAATATCTTTCTGGCATAGATTAATAACAACACATAGAGAACACTAGACGTCGTCTTTTCAAGCTTTAGGCTGTTTTCCTTCATATTAATCCTAAGGCTGAAGCCCAAAGGAGTTCCACGCAGGCAGCGATGAATTACCAGACAGAGAGAGAGCATGCGTTGCCTGCGCAGAACTCCTTTGGGCTTCTGCCTCAGGGTTATTGTGATTAAAAATCCCTAAATCTTTAAAAGACGACATATAGTGTTCTATCTGTGTTGCGATTAATTCATCATCTATGCTTTCTGGGTTTAGGAGGTATGAAGTGTAACCCTAAATTAAAACTATGTATTTAAAAAAAACAGAAATTGCTAGTGTACTTTTGAAAAACATCTTATAAAATTACTTATTAGGTTAAATGTGACTGTTTACACTGTATTAGTGTGTCTCATATCTCATGTCTCAGTCTAAAAGTCGACTTCCTATTCCAGAGTTTTTGGTTCTCAAATTAGAGTGATTGAATATTTCAATTCCCACAATTTCCGCCTCGCCCCCCTTTTTCCTATTCCTACCCTCTTCCTCCCCCTTCCTTCCCCCCTTCCTCCCCTTCTATAGTGTTTATGCGTCCCAAGTTTGTTTTAATCCTTAAAACGATATAATCAAGATCTTCTACTTAGAAACTCTAGATAGAAACTTTAACATTAAATCTGCGCTTTCTTCAGGCGTTAAAAAAACTTCTCAATAAAGATTGAAAAAATAAAGAATTAAACTAAAATTATAAAGTACGAGCTCATAGTAACCCAGTTGGAAACTAAACTAAGTCAAGCTAAGAACATTTCCGTGCTTAACTACCGAGTTCCCATATAAAGTTTGAGGCAAACGATTAAGGGATTTCTAACTTAGGCAGAGATTACCACTTTATATATTAAGAAATACCGGACAATTGAACCAAAAAAATCTTTTTGTTTTCATGGCCAGAACGACGATGTCTAAATTGAAAAGATTATAAATTTTTACTTTTTTCTCTAAAACTTGAAGAGTTTCTATAAAATCCAATTACTGCTCGTCCAATTAGTAAATAATCTAATATGTCTTCTAATCTCTGTCCATTCAATAGAAATGTTGTTTCTACGGAATCAAAAACTAATCAATTTGTAATCATTTTTTTATTGGACTAAACAGGGGGTTCAGAGAAAATTATTATTATAATTGCGTTGGGGCTGGCCCCGGCTAGGCACATTAATACATTTTAAATCAGTTCCGTTTTAACTAATAACTTTATTTCTGTTTGTTAAAATTAAAAAAAAAAATTGTTAGTTGTTCCACATACAGGTTTTTAAAGTTTCATTGTCAATCTCTTTTAAGGGTCAAAAATCGACAGTTCATTTTTTCTATCGAGGAATTTGATATTTTATAGTGTGAGACCTCTCTCTTTAGCATGCAATTTTAGTACGTAGGTCTTTGATATAATATGATATGGACTCCGGCTTTTTATTTGAAGTGGTTCTCCGAAGTAATATGATGTGGGTCTCCAATGAACTATGATGTGGGTCTCCAATGACATATGATGTGGGTCTCCAATGAAATATGAAGTGGTTCTCCGACGTAATATTGTAAAAAATTCAAGAAAACACGAAGACGATTACTACTGTGTAGCGAAGTTGACCGCGCAAGATTTACAATACATAAAACTACATCCGCTCCAAATGTGTCTCCTCATGTCCCCCCCCCTTTACCGCCTCTACTCGTGGAGAACAGCGTCAGTTAGCTTTAGAACGTCGAGATGTGAACACCTCCGATCAGGAACTACTAACTCCTTCATACTGCTGCAGATGCCTACTCTAGCAACGAATGCTGCTAATGTCTAAGCCTCCAGATGTCCAAATCCACAAAACAGTCGCATGTCCTGTGGTATGAGAGGCAAATCGTTCCTCCCCACACATGTTACAGACTGCAAACCCTCCAGGACCGTCGCCTAGATGTGAACCCTTTGCTGCCAAGATGCTGACACCTGCAAGCTGACCATCATGAAGCTCCAACTGTTCCATTCCTTTCAACACTAATACTCAATGTTATTTCATTTTCAACCGTTTAGATAACCCCTTTTTAAGGGTCACTATTTTAAAACAAATTTGATTTTATTATTCAATAAAGTTAAGGAATATCCCTTTTGTTCTTTTATTTGTGTCAACAAATATGATGTGGGTCTCCAATGAAATATGATAAGGGGCTCCAATGTAATATAATGTGGATCTCCAATAAAATATGATGTGAATGCCCGATGAAATATAATATTAGTTTAGAAAAAAAACCTACGCAAACTTAGACTATTTAATCTAACAGAATTCATAGTTTGAAACATCAAAGGTCTACAACATCGGGTTGCTGAGATATAGGGGGAAACAGTTAGAGTTTGTGGTAAAAACTCATTTCCTTTGATCAAAGAAATAACATTAAATTGAATTAGACTCATTCAACTTTTATATTTAGAGTAGAAATCTCTGTTTGTCAGTTTGGATATCTGATCAGAACTCATGAACCTCTTCCCCGATTTACCAGAAAGGAATTGAGTTCTTGCAACACACTCGTTCTAATCCCTAAATGAGTTGAAAAGAAAAAAGGATTGTGGCAAAGACTGAATACCTTTGAATTGGGACTTCGGTAAAACCACAAAAAATTTCAATGCTTAAGGTTGATAAGTTGTATATTTACAGAAAAAGTTCAGTTGACAGGCTTTTAAGCTAGTATACAAAACTAAGCTAGTATACAAAACTAAGCTATTATACAAAACTAAGCTAGTATGCAAAACTAAGCTAGTATAGAAAACTAAGCTATTATACAAAACTAAGCTATTATACAAAACTAAGCTAGTATACAAAACTAAGCTAGTATACAAAACTAAGCTAGTATACAAAACTAAGCTAGTATACAAAACTAAGCTAGTATACAAAACTAAGCTATTATACAAAACTAAGCTTTTATACAAAACTAGGCTAGTATTCAAAACTAAGACTGAAAAAATGCTTTTTATATTGTTAAATATTTATTTTAAAACATAGTTTTAATTTGAGTTTGAACTTCGTTTACTTCAGTTTAGCCTTGTTTATTAAACTATAACTCATTTTATTATCTTTCTCAACTTTCATAATGCTTAAGAAAAGGGCTTTTTGGGCCGGTTAAAACTAAACAATTTCGCAAATTTTTAGTCAAAAATTAACTTTCAATGTATTTTACATTGATATATGGGTTAAAGAGCCGACCGTGAAAGGCTACAGTCTAAAGAGAAGCAGAAAACTGTTATAAAATGCAGGGATATCAAGTTTAAAACTCAGTTCTAAGTTTTAAGTTTCTAGTTTCTTATGTTTTCACAAAGAAAACATAGAAGTTTATCGTCCTGGGATTTTTAAATGCAAACTTTTCCAAGAAACAGAATTTAAAACTTGTCAAAGAGAAAAAATTAACCTTTTTTTTCTAATAATGTGGTTATAACCTACAGATCCTTAAATAGATCGTAAGAATCTTTTCATTATAAAATTCGTAAACCATTGTAATAATTTATTTATAATTATACATTTCATTTTTTTTTAGGAAATAAAGAGTTTTCTGCATTATCGGTTTTGATCCGTTGTCTATCTGTTCATTATTGAGAATCTTGTTCCTATCCGACAACAACATTCGTTTTGTTTTCTTAGACAAGTGAACAATCTTGAAATGTTTAAGTTCAAATTTTCAGTAGACATCCATATCAGAGTCATATATTACATGTACTTCTAAACAATTTCGGGGAGGGGGCTGTGAAGGCTTAGCCCCCTCCCTAGATCAATGAAATAGTTTCCAGTGTTTTTTAAGTTCCCAATGGGTGCTGAGTCCCCCCCCTCTCACCAAATAAATCGAAGTATGAAATACACGAGAATATATGATATTTTATCCTTTGTGCATAAATGTTATTCTTATTTTTATTGTGAACGAAAAACCCTGATATATTAAAAAGACGACCTCTAGTGTTCTATATGTTATTTTAATTAATCTATAAACCCAGTTATGAATAAAATAATCCAACGAATATTGAATACGGCAATTGCATGTCATGTTTACACAAAGACCCCTTTCCTTCAATAAGTTGATTTTAAAGCTTTTGGTAAAACTATATTGTTATCAATTAAACATATGAAATTGCTTAAATGTTGTAATCCTAATCCTATTCAATAGCTTTATGGGATTAACCGAAGTCCCGACAATTAAAGGGACTGTAAAGGAAAAATGAAAGGGGATATAGGCTGAAAGCTAATCACTTTAGCTCTTGATCGCGACCCATGAAAGTTATATCTGATGTTCCTGTCTCGAGAAATTGATATACAACTTTGTCAAATTTAAAGATCAAATTCAGCAAGTAAGCAACCAATCTGAAAACGATGATATCCAAGAGAAAGCTAATTGTAACTTACATTTACTCCAATTCTAATTTTATATTTGTATACTTGACCAGAAATTCCACCAATGGCAGTGCAGTAAAGTGGTCACGTGATACTGGCAGAGACACGTGACCAGTATACTACTCTGCCATTGGTGATAGTTCAGGTCACGTGATTTAAGTTTCAGATTTTCAAAATTTTACAGATATGAATTTTCGTATAATTTTAAACACAGTTTTTTATCCATTTCTTGAGCCAGGAACATAAGATAAAACTTTCATGGGTCGCGATCAAGAGCTAAAGTGATTAGCTTTTAGCCTATACCCCCTTTCATTTTTCCTTTACAGTCCCTTTAAGCATCATAAACTGTTACTATGTAAACTTTGTATGAAATAAATAAAATCTAAAGCCTGTAGCTGATGTGAGTAAATCTACAATGTATAAGAAAAATGTATTTACAATATAAAAAAAGAACAAATAAAATGATACTATTAAATCATTGAAAGTCGGAGTTCTCTGGCAGACTCTCCACTTTTCATTTGTCTCGTTTTGTACCAGCTGTACTTTCTTCTCAAAAATGTACCAAAAAAATTAACCTTTTTTTTCTAATAATGTGGTTATATCTTCTCAAGGTCTTCTGAATTCCACTAGAATGCTCGCCATAAACTTTTATTAGATGGAATTAAATAAAAGCGCCACGCAACTATGAAAATAATAATATTACTGTCTCAGACCAAATCTCCTGGATAATCCTAATTTATATCACTGTTGAAAGACTTAAACCCCTTGTTAAATATCTCAAAGATCCGCCCTTAAATTCAGATATCTGATAAACTTTATTTCACCTTACTAATAATTCAAAAAGTTTTGATTAAATAATCCTGAATAGATGATATAAAAAAGAAAGTGCATTTATTAAATATTCAAGGTTCTCATTGTACAGTTAGAGTCACAATTACAGCGGTATGGGAATATATATATATACATATAATTATAGGTTTTACATTCAACACAAATCTATAAAGATATCTATTTGTTAAGCTGAGATATTAAAAGGACAGACAACTAGAGTGCAAAATTATAAACTTTCTGGATAATAGTTATCAAAGATAGCAAATATTAATTTACAAAGAAAAAGTACTTACAACAATGGAGTTCTTGAATGAAATCTTAACTGTTGAATTAACTTATCCAAATGGATTATATGAACTGACTCTAAAGTGAGTCAAGTAAAGCTTATATACCTAGCATTCATTCAAGATTTTCCTATTTAGAAAAAAAGGAAAAACAAATATTCAAAAAGTTGTTTAGAGTTCATTCTGATTGGTTAGAGAAAAATCCATAATTCAGATTATGCGTGGGATATTGAAGGTTCCCAACTCATATTCTATGAAGTCTAAACCTCCAATCTTGGAGGCTGGAACCTCTGGTTCCACATCATCGAACCTCTGAGGTTCTGGGACTCCATTCCCCTAAACCTCGGTCCTCGGAGATTCAAAGCCTCCGTCCTCGGAGGTTCTAAGTCTCCGTCCTCGGAGATTCTAAACCTCCGTCCTCGGAGATTCTAGACCTCCGTCCTCGGAGGTTCTAAGCTTCCGTCCTCGGAGATTCTAAACCTCCGTCCTCGGAGGTTCTAAGCTTCCGTCCTCGGAGATTCTAAACCTCCGTCCTCGGAGGTTCTAAGCTTCCGTCCTCGGAGATTCTAAACCTCCGTCCTCGGAGGTTCTAAGCCTCTGTCCTCGGTAAACTAGTAGTTTTTTCTCCATAATCTCCATCCTTCCTTAAACTCCTAAGGGCATGAGAAGGAGTTTCAAGATGGAGCCTGGAGATTTCTTTTAACTATTCACTTAGAGTTAGAAACTGTTATGAATTTCTTTCATATACAGTTTGACGAGTTAATCTTCTGTCTTCCGACCCTTCGTGATTACTATATTCCCAGGCTGATCCTATTTCCTTCTCTCTCGTGTCAAGTCGTGTTTCTAGCCTATTGGCTTGAATTTGAAATGGAATTCCTGGGTCAACGGTGGTTTTGGGTTTCCACGCGTTCAAATCATGCGTTAAAAGCATGTTTTCTGGGCTGGCATCTTTTAACGGATAAATCTCTCTACATGAGGCGACTTATCATACGATCCACTGCTATTGTTGACTGCAGTTCATTTACAATTTTAAAATTAGGTAACACAATGCTAATTCATAACAAAGACGATATCGAATTCGTCACTGAATTCCCATGTTTTTTGGGACACTCTGTACAAGTAAGCCTCTCTCCATGCTTACACAACAATTGAAAATCGTAAAATTGTAGACTTTGTCTAAATGTAAAATGACTATTTTTGGAAGTAAAAAGGGTTGCAATTTTTTAACAAAAATCTTGTAAATGAGTTAGTGAGAAATCAAATTTGCTGTATTACAAAGCAATTTAATTTTTGCTTTAGTAAAAATATGTAAGAAAACTAGGAATAGTTTGTTCTCCAGAATAAAACTAAAAACATCTCTGCTCTCGGATAATCCATCAAATAGACGCACTATATAGAACATGTTTGGTTACAGAACAGCTTTACTTTCGTAATGCCTTAAATTTAAGATTTATGTAAAATCCTTTGAAGGCTGTAAATGTCGCCTTTTCAGACGAGTTTTTTCACTTTCGTAAGATTTTAGGTTACATTACAGAAGAGGTTCAGTTCTTTTACAATATATATATATATAATACTTACAGCTTGAGAACCCAGCTTTGCACAGCTGGTACTCATAGTTACTCCCGCCGTTTACCCGCGCTTAGTCGTAAATTACGATTTTTTCTATTTATCCCAATAAAAGTAGACCCACTTAACCTATAATCTAAAAACCAAGTAATAAACATTCCCGTGGTTTTCCTGAGTTCCCTAGTTAACTATTATTAGAGGCCAGAATGATATTTGGAGTAGTAAAAATTGCAAAAAATAAAATACCCCTTTTAAATCCAGCAAACACCCCCTTTAATATTTGTTATAAACAACAAGTACCTCTAGTACCTGGATGTTGAATGTCGGTGATAAGATGTCGTCTTTTTCAAGGAGATCTTCAATATTCTAAACCAATATCCTAATTGCCAATTTACCTAGAAATTTATGAACAACCTTAAGGTTGCCAGATAATTGTCATTATTTAATATGACCGTCAGTTTGAAAGATAGAAAAAGCGTATTCAGCTTTAAATACAGTAATAACCATAAAACTTTGGAATAGAAAGACAACTTTTAGCATAAATTATGACATTAGATAGTCCAATAAGCACGGGAAACAGAAATTGATCAGTTTAAACAGACCCATTTCCCTTGATTTGTGATTTAATAAGTGTCTAGTAAAACTATTTGCTTTCTAAAATCATCAAAAACACTTAAGTATTGCTTCAAAGTCGTCTTCCTATCTCGGAGTTTACTGGTTATGACTGTACCTTTATCATCTTGATATTGTTCTTTTAACTTAGAAAAATAGGAAATCTAAGATACTCTTTCAATTCTCTCATCTTCTCATGTTTATAGAAAATTTGGAATATACAGGGTGTCCCACGAAACATGACAATAGGAAGACGACTTGAAAGTCGTCTTTGGTATTTGAATTTATTTGTGACATTTAGTCTTCTATCTACTTTAACATGCATGATTCTTGAAACAATTATCACATAATTCTCCTAGCCCGGGCATTTCCAAAAAGTGGTCTGCGTTTTTTGTGCTTTCAATATTACCGGAGATATAAAGAGTTTGGTTCAGACTTCAATTTTGTTAAATAAAAGCAAAATTGTCGAAATCTGAACGAAATTCTTCATTTCTCGGGCAATATTGAAAGCACAAAAAAGGCAGACCACATTTTGGAAATGGCAGGACAAGGGAAATTTTGTGATTATTATCTCTAGAAATTTACTTCTAAAATTAGATTGACAAATAAACGCAGCAAATTATATCAAAAATCAAGACGACATTCAAGTCGTCCTGCATACTGTCATGTTTCGTGGGACACCCTGTACCTACTTGCATAAAATGATAGAATTCTAAATTGTATATAAAATGGCATCATAAAAGCGTGAACTACGTTTCAAACTTTTTAAATTTTGATTTCTTTGTTAGTGGGAATCTTAAATATTAAGAAAATTTTGGTTTCTGTTTTCAGAAAACTCACAAGTGAAACGGATTTAATTTTGAGAATTCTTGAGTTATTAATGAAATCCGTCTCAAGTTTGATTAATATATTGGTCACAGGTTTCATGCACCTCAGAGATGAGGAATTATTGGTTTTAATCTCATAAACTTTAGATAGAGATTAAGTTAAGAAAATCAATTTTAAAAATGACTATTTGTTTTTACAGATATCTGATATACGTAATTTATTTACAGGGTACGTTTGGTATCTGCACAAAACGAGCGGGGAAGGCACACCACAACATTTTTACTCCGCACCACAACCATCGTCACCATAATTTCTCTCGACCACACCTTTTTTTGGTCGGACGTTGCTTTTGTGTTATCAAATGTATATGTGTATTTCCTAAAACAAGTTTTTTTTTCAAATTTAGGCAACGTCATGTTATTCATTATGATTTGATTTTGAAAAATAAATCGATGTTGAAGCCCAATTTTGCACAAAACGAAAATACCTATTGTCGTCGGACTATACCTATTTTTCGTCCGGGCCACACACTTTTCTGTTATTTTCTTTTACTCCTAAACTGCAACTTTTAAATGATAATCGCTGCGATTTTTATCATCTACAACTAAAAATTAACATAATTTTGGTAAGAGCATAGCAAGTGGTTTTGATTTGCTCGAGGTATTCTGAAATAAAATTTACATGAATTGTACATTCATAAGATGTTCTTCTTTAAAAAAATAAACAGGATAAAATATTTTAAAACATTTTATACAACATGACGTGGCTCAAAATTCGAATACAATAATGTAAAGTACTTTAAAAAAGAATGTAAACAGTGCCGGACGAAAAAAGGAATACTCGGGACGAAATAATGGTGAATTGTGACGTCAGCTGTGGTCGGGAGAAAAAAGGTGTGGTGTGCCGAGGAGGTCGTCTCTGTAAGAGGCGATTTTTTTGGTCAGGTATCTGGTGAGAGACAAAAAATGTCGAACTTTCATCGTACAAATTATGTTGGAGCAGCGCGGAGCCAAAATCAACATAAAGTAACATTCTTCTTAAATTTTGTTAGATATGAGTCAGATAGTATTTACATTCAGCAATATTTGAATAATTGTTGAAAATTTGACATTTCTTAGAACCATCCTTTAAATTATTTTTGGTTTGTATTTTCGCCAGTTGTATAGCAATGTTTATTTGGTCTACAAATATCAAACGCAATATTTTGGATTTAATTCTGCGCAGTTTGACAAAGAAAATAACTAAAGTGTCGCAGTTAATCTATTTTCCGCGTGTGACCAGGAATTCCCTGAAGCGTGGTGAAGGATTCTGCTACGCATCAGTATTAAGAATTTTATGCGCACTCATTTACATTCCTGGCACGTGACCATTTTAAATACGCATAAATGGTTTAACCAAAAACTAATAATGAACAAATTGTAAATATTAGAAAATGCTAAAAACAAACTTGAATATAAAGGGAGTGACCGGCTATGTAAGGTAATTGAACTGAGTATGCAGTGTTGTGGAAAACTTCTTTCGGATTCATTTGAGACATATTAAACTTTTTAAAGATCTGTAAATCCTGAGTTTGAGCGCAAATTCGACGTTCAAAACTCCTACTTTGGGGGTGGATACGTTTTCAGAATTAGTTTTTTTTTAATTATTAAAAAACGACGACATAAAATGTAAAAAGTTCTACAATAAACTACAGACGTCATGTGTAGTATAGGAACATGTTTAAAAAATAAAAATTTACCTTATCCTCGAAAATAAGTAATCTTGTTCAATTATTAGTTTCTATTTTCTCATTATTCTGGTTTCTCATTATTCACAAAGATGTTTTGCAGAATTTCTAGAATTATTTTATAGAAAAGACGACATTTGAAGAATTTAAAGAAATCTGCGACTAAATTCAAAGAAAATAAGAAATTCAATTTAATAATGAAAACGAAAAAATCGATTTTAGCATTGATTTATTGACAAATTTCTTTTGAGAAATATGTTCCTAACCATCTAATTAGATTCCTGTATAATTTTTACTTTATTTCTCATTCTTCACTTCACCTAAAAAAGTTTTCAAATAGTAAAAGATATAATTTCGCCAAAAAACATTGTCTTGATGGTTCTATAAATAGTGTTTAAAAGATTTGTTTATTATTATTCATTAAATTTTTGAAGGGTAAACCACAGAAATTTGAACCTCAAAGAAAAAGTAAACCTATTTTAAGCTTGAAAAACTAACTCCCATGCAGTGCAACACTACACAGTACACTAAGGTCACTGAAGAGATTACAGGATATCATTAGATTTATCTTTAGGTGACTGTAGGCTTAACTGCAAGTGACCCTGCATGGCCGAGATTGCAATGCGCAATTTACAATGGTACTTTTTGATAAGTTTAGAATGCATAATTAAACGCTGTTGAACCTGGAAAAAGCAACAATATTTTACAAATAAAAACAAATATCAATAATGCCAACGCTCAAAAGATGAACAAATATGAACATTTTATCATATATATAACAACTAGGAATGTGTCTGTTCACCCTTTTGAAATCGGCTCAAGAGGATATATCTCACCATCAAATAAGGCAAATCTAAAGAAACCACATAAGTTCTGCAAATCCAGTGTAGTTTCAAAGCAATGTGCGAAAATCTATCAAGCCTTGCAGGCAGTGCTGTCATCATACCACATTTTTTGAAAACGAAAAACACTAAACTGGGACCAAGAAGAACCATCTCTGAATAACTAAACTATACTCATGCTAAAAGTCTTGTATTGCACCTGTTTTTTGGCAAACCCTGTCAATTATAAAATGCGATATCCAGAGAAAAGAGTATTAGTTTGTAAACTTTTATATTGTTTAATGTAATTTTGCTTTAGACAAATATAAATGATGAATATATAATCAATAAGATAATTAAACTTTCAAGATATTTCGTATTTGTAATTATACACTTATTAGGAAATTTATTCTAAAATAATAAAGTTGATATATAAAGTCTTTTAACCCATTTTCGTCGGATTTTGAATTAGAAATAAAAAATGCATGGTGCCCCTTAATCCTTCGTCTGTGCTAAAACTTATTTTTGCAGCAGAGACAAAGAGGCAAACTGCCAGAATTCAACACTTTTCCAGAAAAAAAAACAATATATCTTCCTTGCATATACTTTGATAAATGTCTAAAGAGTGCAGTTGTGAGTCGGATATTAAATTCTTTAAATGTGGTCAATTATAATAACACGGCGACAATCTCTTTAATTCTCATTATTTTTATTCTTAGCCCACAACAGCCCATTCCAATTGGATTCCAATTCAGGAAGTAATTGAGAATTTGGAAAATTTCTTTCTAAGATAGTTTTCATTTTCTTCTGCATTTCATTCAGACATATATCTACTTATTTAGAATTTGAAAAAAAAACTTTAAAGGGAGTGACTGGTTAGGTATCGTAGTTAAACTAAGAGTGCAACTATATAATATATTGTCAAATAGAAAAATTGCGAACCAAAAAGGAATATTTTCTAAATAACTAATATGATGGAAATTTTCGAAAATTTTATTTAATCTAATCAAAATATTTTTAAATATGTCTGCCAATATTTGTACGTGCAACGTACATGCAAATTTATTTGTACAATCCAGGAGGAATTTTTGTACATGAGATAAGTTCGGCAGTACACATATTAGGCTGCATCAGAGATGAAGTTGATGAGATATGTGCATTGTACAGCTGGTGTGCTGAATTTAGCTCTTCTTGGGACAGTTTTTGCATGCACAGTTTGTGCATTTACAATCTGCACATTTGCATTCTCCTCCAGTCTTCGCGCCACAATTGCAATCTAAAAAATAAAATTCCGATCAATTTCATATTTTTCCCAAAACTACAGCGGTTATCAGAAAACAGTGGAATTGATAATGTCGTCTTTTTCAAAATTATGAAAAGTCATGCAGAAGTTCAAAACTTAGAATTTGTAACTAATGCCAAAATAATTCGAGGTAAAAAGTTAATTGATTCCTATCCTAACCTAACGTGGTGGTAAGTAAATATCCGATTTGAATATTAAAGAAAAATTTTGTATTACATTCTAATCCGTTCCCTTTAGTTTTATAATATTTAAAATACAAAAAATTATTAGGCAATAAATGTATTATATTGGAAGAAGTATAAATTGAATTGACAAACCGATTCAATCCCAATTGCTATCAGCTCTGAAAATATTACCATAAACTGTATTTGTGTACAATTTAAGAGAAAAAATCTAACATTTTGTAATTGTTTCGTAACAAGGAACATAATATTAAGGATGTCTTATACAATCTTAAATTCATGATATTAGGGATATCTCATACAATCTTAAATTCATGATATTAAGGATATCTCATACAATCTTATATCCATGATATTAGGGATATCTCATACAATCTTAAATTCATGATATTAGGGATATCTCATACAATCTTATATCTATAATAATCTTTTAATGCTTCAAATGCTCTTGATATATTTCGGTATTAATAACAATATGTTCGGATTTCTCCAACTGTGCTGCAGTGAAGATGACGACAGTTTATGTAAAACGAGAAACAGATTTCAAAAGATCAAAAAACTTAAATTGAGAATATGTTATAGTTTTAATATTGGATATATAATTGGATAATATTGAACATTTAAATTAAAAACATAAAATACCAAAGGGTTGAATATATTTACCCTGTGAATCCATGTTGATATGTTTGTTCTCTGCTGTACAGATCCCAACTAGAGCTTCTCAGAGGCAAGCTCCGGTTTTATACCAACATTGCGAGGGGTGAAATAATTTTGAAGATTATAATTCGATAATAAAAGGGCAATTTCTTCAGAATTAATGATGAATTATATTTGATTTGATAAAAAGGATTAGAATTTTAATATATTTGAGTTTTGTTTCTATTTTAGTTCAAATCAAAAGAATTAGAAAAATGCATTTAATCCAGAAGGTTTCATATTCATACACTTTATATACTGCGCTTTAAAATATATAAGCTCCCATTTCACACTCCCACCCCTACCACCCCCCCCCCCTAATATATCTAGCTGCAATCTATAAGGTATAAATTTATGATGTATTTAGATAAATATAAAAAAAATGGCTGACACTAGATAATCCTCCAAAGTATGTGTTCAGAAAACCGCAAACATCTTATCAATAGAATCATTTTTTTTGAAAATATAAGATAACACTGTTATTTATTGCAAAATTCTTAGAATAACCGAATAAATCTATTCTACCCTTTAACAGCTTAATCAGATCGAAGTATAAGGTTAAATAAATATTTAAAGGAAGAAAGCTTTGCAAAGATCAACCACGCAACATAATAAACTATTGAATTGGTTTGCTTCGATTTAATTAAATGCACATTCTTTTTTTTCTATTTTGAAAAATTATTAAAAATGCGTCATTGTAATTGAAAGCTGCATAATTTGTGCACAACAAAAATAAAATCTAAGGAAGGTTTACCATACTAGAATAAAATCTAAGGAGGGTTCACCATACTAGAATAAAATCTAAGGAGGGTGCACCATACTTGAATTGAAGCTAGGGAAGGTGCTAAAAACAAACAAAAAACTAAGAAAGGTGCACCACACTAGAATATAAGCTTAGGAGGGTTCATCATACTAGAATAGAATCTAAGGAGGATGCACCACACTGGAAAAGAATCATGGAGGGTGCAACACACTAGAATAGTATCTAGGATGGTGCACCACACTAGAATAGAAACTTAGAAGGGTGCACCAACTTAAGAATAGAAGTTTAGGAAGGTGCACCACACCAAACTAGAATCCTGGTACAGAATTATTCTGTCAGAAAAATTCCAATCATTAAAATAAAAATGTTAATGTTAGTTTAAAGTTTTCCTGAGCTCTGTTAAAACTGGTTTCAATGTTTATATTAAAGATGATATTAAAGATGTTTACATTGATCCAACGATTCTTCGTTTAGTTATAGAGAAGTATCTTTGTAACCTACATGATACAGATCAGCTAGATAATTAGGAACATATCAATTTTATAATTAATGATTGTCTGTTTAGATTTTTCACAACTTTAAGAAAGAAAATAGATCATTTTTTGAAAAGAAACACTAACATTTCATAATATCAAACTATTGAAATAGCATGATGTTTTTAATAACCGTTAACAATGTTCCTTTAAAATATTGTTTGATAGAGTGAGTAATTCATCAATTGATGGTGTGTTTGATTGGTTGATTTATTTTTTGATTGAGGATGTATTGCCTGATCGACTGATTGATTGGCTAATTAATTGATTTATAACTAATTGATTGACAGATTAATTGACTGATTAATTGACTGATTAATTGACTGATTAACTGACTGATTAATTGACTGATTATTGACTGATTGATTGACCGATTGATTGATTGACTGATTGCTGACTAGTCAGGATGCTGGGCCTCTTCTCTGCAGTAAAGAATACTGTTCCTATTGGGAAAAAGGTAAAGCTAACAAATTCAGAAGATATTAGTTTCAAAACAGGATTTGGTCAATTTCTAATTTCATTAATTTCTATTTGGAACGATTATGTCTCCTTGAATTTCAAATGTCTAAACAAAGGAATTGAGTCTTTGGAACAAAATCAAATATTTAAACCTCAATATCTATAGAACTCGATGTTGTAAACATTTGATATTTCAAACTCAGATTATTTAATCTAACAGAATTCATAGCTTGAAATATCTAAGGTCTACAACATTTGGTTCCAAAGTTATAGTGATTAGAAAATCAGAGTTTGTGGCAAAGACTCAATTCCTTTGTCTGAAACTGAAATTTGGCCAAAAGTTATGCTTCTAACTGGCATATTATGTGAAATGGTTTTCTGCGTTGATGTACAATGCATAATAAACAACCATTAGTTGAATTTTGCTTGTTTGTTTTTTACAACTTCAGACCAAAATATTAAGTTTATTTTATTTTATTTTATTTCGTTTAATGTCTAATGCTGCCATTTATGCAAGCATGTGGTTAAATACATTTTCAAAGCCATTGCATATAAACTATGATAAATGACTGGTTAAGAAAATAATACTTCTGGTTTTGTATTTTGTTTGCATTCTACAGTGGTCAACTTTTATTTCAATACTGAAGACTTTTCAATCTAATTTTTATTATTAAAAAGCTTTTTCCAAGTTTGCAATTTACAGCTTCTCTTTATTTCCATGTTTATGTGTATCCATGCTGTTTGAAAGCTCGGTAAAAATCAAAATTAAAATTGATTGTCGTCTTCATTATATTGATATATACAACGACGATTGGATGGTATGTTCCGTGCGTTAATTTTAATTTAATTTGGTTTAATTTTCTAAAGTTTTACTTATCAAGATGTTTTGTCGAATAAACCTAAGGATATCAAAAAAGTATCAAATGTCATGATTCAAGGATTACTTGATAAAAAGTCAACTAGGTTTAAAAAAAGAATATTTTTCAAAATTCAACTCATGCAGTCCTATTCCAGAAAATTCGAAAATCAACGAAATTAAAACAATTTAAAAATTTCAGGCTGTTTGAAGATGCTTTATTTCCAAAATGGCAAATATATCCTGTATCGCCAGTAAAATGTGGGCTTTTTATCTCATTATAATGAAGTATAATTATTTTTGTTTGGTGTTTAGATCGGTTGGGCTAAAACTGAAGGACCCATTTCTGTTCTGCACTATAGAGCTACAACACTTCTTTTTCTATGGTAAAGCTAATATCATTACACATTTTCTATGATAAAACTAATATCATTACACAAAATATACTTTTTCTATGGTAAAGCTAATTACACAACATATACTTTTTCTATGGTAAATCTAATATCATTAGACAAAATATACATTTTCTATGGTAAAGCTAATATCATTATACAAAATATACTTTTTCTATGGTAAAGCTAATATCATTACACAAAATATACTTTTTCTATGGTAAATCAAATATCATTACAAAAATATACTTTTTCTATGGTAAAGCTAATATCATTGCACAAAATATACTTTTTCTATGGTAAAGCTAATATCATTACACAAAATATACTTTTTCTATGGTAAAGCTAACATCATTGCACGAAATATGGTAAAGATAATATTACTATACTTTTTCTATGGTAAAGCTAATATCATTATACATTTTCTATGGTTAAGCTAATATCATTACACAAAATATTCATATACTGATGGGACTCATAAAAGTGAGGATTAGGAAAATTATATTTAAGCAATCATTTAATGTATTTTATGTTGTTTTAAAGCAAAGTGTTGTAACTTGTATGTTGGTTCTCATGTTGGACATTTTAATATATTATATATATTCTAATAGTGGTCGTTTTGTTCCATAACTGTACTGGCTGGGTCCTAAATATGTTGCATTTTCTCAACTTTGCTATTCCCCTCGGTTGCTCTTTTAATTTCAAGATTTTAGTTTAATGAAAGAATTAATGAAGAAAATATTTCTAAAAGTTAGAAAGTTGTATATTTTATCAGCTTTATAATCAGATGTGTCAGGGTTCTAGAGTTCAATCCTGAAAACTGCAGAATACGATTTAATATTTACAATTAAACATTTAAATCTATAAAAACTTGGATTTTAAGTTATTCATAGTTTTAAGTTACTTAAGTTAGCGTACTTTCAAGTGGCCCTCCATGTAAAGATGGCATGATGCCCTATTTACATTGATACTATTTAAAGCTTTGTCAAATATCTTTGTTTATAATTGTTAAATCTGATTATTTTCAATTTTGGTTTCTCCACAATTTCTACTGCAGGAAAACCATGGAGAAATAACCAGAATTGAACACTTTTCAAGCTAAAAAAACGACGTTTTCATCTACTCACAATAGACTAAAATTGACGAAAATATTCTTTATTTTTTTCATTTCTATTTTTTTTAATAGCCTGGATGAAAACTAAGTTTTGTTTAAAAAGTCAACCCACTCAACTTAGAATTTTTAAGCCAGAGACTAAAAACTTCGCGTGGTTCTATAAATTCCACCCAATCTAAATTTGAGTCAAATCGGTTAAGGGGTTCATGATTCATGCTTGAACATCAAAACAGACAAACAGACAGAAACAAGCTTAAAGATTACTACTTTAATAAGAATAATGTAGGAGAACTTAAACGAGGTTTCAGATAAAAACAAATAAAATGTTTTGAAAGTTTTACTATAAGTGATAAACATTTAGTTGTTGTGTGCTGGTGACCTCTCTGGAATGGATTGGTAATGGAGCGAATATAACCTGTGCTATGGTTAGTTACTTCATGTATTCCTCGAAAGTGAGACCTATAAAACTTTGAAATAGGAAAACGATATTTAACAAATTTGTATTTGCTACTGTTGTAAATAATAGTTAAACCATGGTAGATTGGAAGTATTAAGAGGGTCTGTACGTATGTATACCGTGTACACCTGCTGTTTTATGGTCATTAGATTATTCAAATCATAACTTCAGTACACCAGCTTGGCCTTTGTCTCCTTTATCAACAGTTTTATGGGTAAAGATTGTAAACCTAATCCATGGTTAGTTTCTAAAATAATATTTTCCTTTCGAATTTGTTATTGATCAATGTCAACCTTAAATTGACATTTAAATCTTTTGAAAATATAAATTTTGATCAAAATTTTAACAATTTATTAGAAACTTAACATTTTAAAAATGTTCATTTTTTAAATTTCTAAAATCAAAATGCTGATTTCAACAATACTTGTTTTAAGACATGGCTATTTGCTAGAGCAAATCGATCAGCACATTCTACATTCAATGCTGATTTTAATTTGTTTATTCAATTTGAAAACTGTTTTATCTAAAGCCTATATGTTTATATTGCGAATATATTTGATAAAAACATGTGTGTTCCACTTTAAACATACTTTATAAGGACAATGGACATTGATAAAACTGATAAAATCCCCAAGAAAACAGAAAATCTAGATTTCAAATCTTACCTTTTAAATTCCAAATCTACAGCTTACTATTCATTATTATACAGCAAACACAAAGTATTCTGAATGCAATTCATCACACAACAAAATCAAAAATTGCAACATACTACTTAGACCGTAAAAAATCTATTTAATTTCAAACAAATCATTCAGATATTACAACCTATAGTCATCGATTATCTTTCGCCACATTTGTATATAGTTTATATTTTATAATTTAGAAAACGTTTTCAACGGATTTCGAAAATTGTGAGTGGTGTGCGGCATTCTTAGATAGTTGCGCAAGCGACAAGAGAAATAAATTAATTAATTAGAAAATATTATAAAATATAAACTATATACAAATGTGGCAAAAGATAATCGATGACTGTAGGTTGTAATATCGAAATGATTTGTTTGAAATTAAATTGATTTTTTACGGTCTAAGTAGTATGTTGCAATTTTCTCAATTTGTATGGGCGCTAAGTTATTCGGTATGAGACGTCTTTAACAATTTTCTCCATATAGACGCAACAGATAGAAGTAAGATTAGCAGCGATCAAAAGCGCTTTTTTATCGCATTAAGCCTATACCCCCTTTCATTTTTCGCGAACACTCAATTTAAGTGTACTGCAGTTTCTGGGACTAATGTAAACAAACTTAATGCTCCTCAGATTAAGCTTTGTGAGATCGAATTCTTAAAGTCTAATTCTATCTTCATAATCTGTAAACAAACATTATAATTAACATATTTGATTAAGCTAAGTTTAAGTCGTATAAGTCACGTAATTTGAATATCTAGACTAAAGTGCAAAACTTATAAAGAACTAATAAATCTTCGAATGTTCGTTCACGTGGTAAAAATATTTAGACAATATCATACATCATGCAAATACAATATTCATTACTAAGTTTACTGAGGCCAGTCTCAACGATTAAATCCTTCAAATGTTTTCTAAAAAACCAGAAAATAAAGCGACCTGCAATTATTTTTACAGTTACTTGAATTCCCGTCCCTCAGAGATTATTTTATTCTAGAGTGGGCCCTCTGATGATTGGAACATTCCCGTTGGAGTAATTAACTCATACTGTTATATACAGAGTACATTCACTATACCTGGACCACATGCAGGTAGTACACTGTTATATACAGAGTACATTCACTATACATGGACCACCTGCAGGTAGTATACTGTTATATACAGAGTACAATCACTATACCTGGACCACATGCAGGTAGTATACTGTTATATACAGAGTACATTCACTATACATGGACCACATGCAGGTAGTATACTGCTATATACAGAGTACATTCACTACACATGGACCACATGCAGGTAGTATACTGTTATATACAGACTACATTCACTATACCTAGACCACCTGCAGGTAGTATACTGTTACATACATATATATGCATACCAGACTGCTTATCAGAAGAGAAAATGTTACAAGTACATTAGACTGCTTAAACGTTATTTCCGATAAGATGACATCTCAACCCGATAAGCTGACATCTCAACCCGATAAGATTTAGATAAGCAGCATTTTGTGCAGGGACTATTCATACAAATATACTGCTTATAAGGGCTCATCTGCATCCCGCAGCTATTAGCTTGAACTACTGCTTGTAAGAATAAGATGCTAATCTTGCAGCTTATAAGAACAGATGAAGCAATAATTACTGCATATAAGAATAGAAGCAAATCTTACTGCTTGTAAAAAAAGAAGCAACTTTTACTGCTTAAAAGGGCTCATCTGCATCCCGCGACTAGGCTCATCTGCATCCCACGACCATTAGCTTGAACTACAGCTTATAAGAACAGATGAAGCAATAATTACTGCTTATAAGAATAGAAGCAAATCTTACTGCTTATAAGAACAGATGAAGCAATAATTACTGCTTATAAGAATAGAAGCAAATCTTACTGCTTATAAGAACAGATGAAGCGAGCATTACTGCTTATACGTATAGAAGCAAATATTACTGCTTGTAAGAGTAGAAGCAAATATTACTGCTTTTAAGAACAAAAGTTAATAATACTGTAATGTTTGCTTCTAAGTTTTCTTATAATTAGTATTAGTTGCTTCTATTCTTATAAAGCTGTTAAATTTTTTTTTCTTACAAGCAGTAATATTAGCTTCTATTCTTACAAGCAGTAATATTAGTGTCTGTTCTTGTAAGCAGTAATATTTGCTTCTATTCTTACAAGAAGTAAAATTTGTTTCTATAATTACTAACAATAATATTTGCTTCATATGTTCTAACAAGCATTAGTATTTGCTTCTGTTCATATAAGCAGTAATATTTGCTTTATCTGTTCTTACACGCAGCAGTATTTGATGCTATTCTTACAAGCAGTAATATTTGCTTCATTTTAACATATGGTTTCTTATTGTAACAGACAAAATACTTCTTATCATGCACCCGCTACAATTATACAGATTTACCCTCCGTATTTTCAATCTATACTTTGCTTGGGTGTCTGCTTGTTTGTTTGTTTCTTAACGATAAACGTCAAAACGGCTAAACCGATCAGGCCCAATTTTTTTGTGGGAACTCATAAGACCAAGGGATGGTTCATGGAACGTCAAAATTGGAAGAAAAAAATTTTGGAACATTTTTTTGAAAATGCACCAATTCTAAAGAAAAATCCGCCAAAATTTGAAAATGATTGAAAAGGCCGACTTTGAGAGCAACAGGAAAGGGGGACGAAGCGACCCAGAAGTCTCTTCAATATTTAATCATTTTAAAAGTAAGCAGTCACACACATTCCAGAACAGAAAATCAAATTATTTTATTCTAATTATTATAGAAAACTACAAGACAGTACATCCTTTTCATCCTTTCCGTCCTTTCCATCCTTTCTATCCTTTCCATCCTTTCCACCCTTTCCATCCTTTCCATCCTTTCCGTCCTTTCCGCCCTTTCCATCCTTTCCATCCTTTCCATCCTTTCCATCCTTTCCATCCTTTCCATTCTTTCCATCCTTTCCGTCCTTTCCATCCTTTCCATTCTTTCCATCCTTTCCGTCCTTTCCATCCTTTCCATTCTTTCCATCCTTTCCATTCTTTCCATCCTTTCTGTCCTTTCCATCCTTTCCATTCTTTCCATCCTTTCCGTCCTTTCCATCCTTTCCATTCTTTCCATCCTTTCCATCCTTTCCATCCTTTCCATCCTTTCCATCCTTTCCATCCTTTCCATCCTTTCCATCCTTTCCATCCTTTTCATCCTTTCCATCCTTTCTATCCTTTATTTGTAGAAGGAAAAGAATATTTCATATGCCACCTACCTGTATATTTAAGCTTGTAAATCTACTTAGATTTTATTTTCTTATTCATGTATGCATTATACTATCTATATATTTATATTTTTGTGTGGTGAGTTGTGTGTATGTTCAGAAATTAGGTCTTTGCCATAACACTCTGATTTTCTAATTCCTAAATCTTTGCAACCCATTGTCACAGACCTTAGATATTTTAAACCTATAAATTCAGTTAGATCAATTGCTCTAAGTTTAAATTATCAAAGGTTTACACCATTAGGTTACAAAGATCAGAACATTTGAGTTTGTAACAAAGACTCAATTCTTTTATTACATTTGAAAACAAAGGAGTTGAGTCTTTGCCACAAATTCAAATTTTATAGTTCCTATACCTGTGCAACTTGACGGTGTAAACTCTTGATATTCCAAATTAAGATTATTTAATCTGACAGAATTCTTAGTTTGAAATATCTAAGGTCTACGACACTGGGTTGCAAAGATATAGGAATTTAAAAATCAAAGCTTGTTGTAAAGAATCAATTCCTTTGGTTGTTAATATTAAAAAATCAAGGCCTAAAACAGATAATACACCCAATTAACATAACATAACAATCTACAATGTGTCTCAAAAAACGGGGAATAAGGGTCCACAGACTCGTTTGTCATCGGATTTTCAAGATTGAGACCATTTTTAAGACTGCGTACAATTTTAGATCTACAAGCCTAAAATTGGATTTTATAAATCGGTAATTGTAGGTAGATATCATTAACGGTCTCAATCCGATGAAAATCCGATTACAAACAAGTCTGTAGACTCTTATAAAAAATTGTGCAGACGAAGATAATCTTATTTTTACAAAATTTCTCACTCCAGTTGGAATCTTTAAAAGCCTATAAAATTGTTATATTTAGATCTACACGCCTAAAATTGGACTTATTTAATGTATGAAATTGTAGATTTTAAAAATGTTCTCAATCTTGAAAATTCGATTATAAACGAGTCTGTATAGACCCTTATATCCCGTTTTTTGAGACACCCTGTATATATTTCAAATTTTATGTAAGTGCTTAATTCACGCCAAGAGACATCTGCACCAAGAAATTAGAATTTTAGATTTCTAATTTTAAATTCTTATAATTGTTTTAAAAATATTCAGAAAATGGGTTTTCAGGGCAAAGAAACCAACTAGAAGAATATTGTCGGCTGCAAAACAGAAAATGGAAGAGACGATTATAAAAGAGTAACATTTTGGAAAGCGAGGGGAATAAAATAAACATTTTCTCCAAACAATAATTGTGGAAAACCTTTATATATAAATAGCTTTACAAGAACTCCTTTATTCTAATACGAGTTTACGTTTGGACATAAAAAGAACGTACTACAAAATTCTGATAATAACCTAATGGGCTTTATTGTTGTTGTTGTTGTGCATACAGTAATCTACACAGATTTTTTACAGAATTTTGGAGGATTTCTAAATCTAGTGCACAATGTCTTGTTGTTGATATTTAAGAGCATTTATGCCAACTTAATCATAATTTAATTTAATCAAAAAAAAAATGATAATATTAGTACCCCAGATGAATCTTTNCACTGAAATATATATCTGCTTACGTTAAACTAAAATAAATTGCACGTACTATTAAAATCTTATATGTTTTCAATCTTAACTCACCTTTGAAGAGCAATTGAAAATAACAGAAATGTTTTGAGTTTCTGAAATGTAAATTGTAATTGGACAAATTAGCTTGTCTCATACTTGTGGAATAAAATAAAACCATCTCAATGTCGTGAATTAGAATTTCGTTCTTTTTTACTTTCATTTTAAAACTATTGTTATTGAATTTATATTGAATATTTTGTTAGGAAAATCTCGTTTAGTCAGAAACAGGTTGGAATTCCAATTTCTCAGCTTTTTATACTTTCATTACTTAATAAAATACAACAGATTGCTTAACTGACAAACAGACGAACAAAAATCATTGATTTAAATATATGATGCAGCACATACAGGTTGTCCCAATAAACATGGGAATTCAGTGGCATTTTGATGATTTTTCTTTAAATTTAGTATAGTGATGCCTACTAAGAAAGCTATATTCCGTCTGCTAGAGTTCAGAATTTGTTTGTTAATGTTTTTATTGCATACAGTGTTGTAATTAATAATACAAACACAGTATATATACAGTTGTTTCTCTTCTCTGTTTATCTTGTAAAATTGATACAGAACATCAATGTTTTGCAGAATAACAAAACAGTCTTTTACTGTTTACATAAAATATGCTCTAGAAGACGTAACTTTATTTTTACCATTTAGATTAAGTAACTAATTCTTGTATAAACCAATGTTTGTGTGAGTTTAAAGGTTGAAATTAAAAAATTAACATTAAAAAAACTTGGATTATTCTAGAAACTATTTTTTTTTCATGAATGAGCCGAGATTAAAGAAAAGTGTGTTTCTCTTAAATCTTAAAGAGAAGTTATATTACTATTTTAAAATTGCTATTATCCATTACAGTGAAGGCCAATGTCCTATTGTTTAAAACCTTCCGGAAAACTTTAATTTTTCAATCGCTATTAACAAAAATGATTGTTTATATAAAAAAAGAACGGAAGCTTTTCTTAATAGCTGCAGTAAAAGCAGCTAGTGTATATGGTTTAATGAAAGAAATGAAGAATGTTGTTAGAATAGTGTTATTATCATTTCTGAATGTTAAGTCATTCATAAGATGGAAATACACCGTAAATGAACTGCAACCGTTAACGGTGAAGTCAGCTAACGACGATAACAATTAAGATCGTTATTAGTTCTAACAAATCGCTACTTTATGAGGCCATTATTATCGAACGGATAAAAAAATTTCAAGCGTGCCCAGCGCTATCCCCGTCATTTAAAAGTTTCTCCATCATAAGAATTTTTAATGAGACCATTTAACTTTAGGAGAAAGTTTTATTTTCCGCGAAATTTTGACAGGTTTAAAAACTTTATCTTGTAAAAACAGAAAACCTTTG